CAAAGGCCGTAAATAGAAGAGATAATCGGTTGCTTTACTTCTTTATTTACTGTTCTATGTTTTAAGAAAAGTATGTTTGAGAACTTGTTTCAAAATAGCAATAATCTATATAAATCTATTATAAATGTATAATGTTATGAGATTTAAGCTATTTAGTCTAAACACTTATGTTTTCGTGTTTTAATTTGTGTTCATTCTAGAATGAACTAATTTAAAAGTTATTACATGAAAACTATAACAAGCACAAAATGATTATGAGGTCAGTCATAAGGACCGAGTCTGTGCTGAAAGAGTTAATCTAGGTATTCTGGCTTTTATTGTTTCAATGGTAAGCAATTGATTGCAATTTTATATTTTTAGAATAAAATGCATTTCAAAAATGTACTTACCAATGTAATTCAATCCAACCAACCTGTTTTTATGTGGTTTTCTATCACAATTACTAATCTGAATTATGGCCGGAAAGCAGAGCTTCTGTGCATTTTTCCGATGTATGCACAATAAGTCATGTGGAAGGGGGAGAGTGGAAAATTCTGGGTAAATTGACAAATGTGCTGCATTGTGTCAAAGACATTTGGAATTTTTATTCATATATTTGTTGAAAGCATGAGAGGAAATTCAACAAGAAATGGCCTATAGTATTTCAGATGTAAGCACCACTTTGAAATTCATATTAATCCTAAATATCAAATATTCAAACACAAAAAATATTCTTAATTAGTTTTTCCTTCAGTTTTGTTAAACTTTACTGTTATTGGTGAAGCTTTCAAATTGATAAAAATCTAGATCACTTGTTTTGATATTTTGCTGTGAAGTATCTTACAGAGTAGCATATGCTCTATAATTGGCTTTTTAATAATATAGTATTGAGTGATTTTGTATATTAACCTACATGTAGGTGTTCCTTTGTTACCTGAAAGTATTCTTCTGAGAGAAGTACTTTTTGCTTTCCAAGGCATTGATGGGAAGTTCATAAAAATGCAACCAGGAAAAGACAAATTTCATATTGATAGCAAGGTAAGATATCTTTTAATAAGTTACATGCTAAAGGATTAACTGAGTTATTGTATATTGTGCTTTTTACATTTTGTTATATAAATAAAATATAAATAAATAAATAAAAGAACAAAATACTTTTGTGTTTAAAGTAACTGCTAGAAATGAAATCACCAAGAGAAGTTAAACCTTACAATATATTATTATTAGTCGTAGTTTATATTGTTAACAACACCCAATCTATGCTAAAATTTCTATGAAATTATTTTTCACAAAAGTTGGTAATAATGTAAAATGTTACTTGTACAAAGGTATTAAATTAAACTGGTAACAAATATATTTTTAGAAAATCATAGGGAAGGAGTTGTTTAAAAAGTTAAATTAGTAAATTATATCTAAAACAAATATTAATCTTGAAAATACAAAGTAAACAATGAACAAAGAAAAGAGAAAAAATTGTAAATATAAACTGAAAAAAATGAACTGAGCTATAGAGGCTTTAAATCACCATCAACGATGAAGCGAAAAAAAAGGTTGCTTTATGACAAAGGCCATTCAGTGTGGAATGAACTTTCAAGACCTTGTTATGAAAGACTATAAACAAAATATTAGAATGCAAACTCAATGGTTATTATTGGGTTTCTTGGTGCATTACCAGTTGAACTAACAGAAAAGCATGGAATACTGGAAGTGAAGTGTCCCAATACAGCTGAACATTACATATCACTTGTAACTGCTAAAAATTTGACACAATTTTATTCCTTGGTTAACACTTCAGACATTCACTATTCTACCAATAGTTATGGGACACAGGTAGTTATGGAAGAATGTCTACTAATTTCTAGTAGAAAGCTGGTGGTACTGTGCTCCATTCCTTCTTTAAGCATTAGTAAGCTCCACTACTGAAGAGGGCTGTCTTGGCCCTGCCCTAAATCTGTGTTCCAGTTCATCCCAAAGATGTTCTATTGCAGTGGTTCCCAACCTTTTCTCCACAAAGGACCCCATTATTATAATTTTTTCACCCACAGACCCAATGTTTTTGAAAGATTTTGCCTACCCAACAAACTGTTTTTATTAACTAATAATTAACTCGTTCTCCCACTTTTCACTATCAAATAAAAGATATATATAACTGAGTGTACAATTTAAAAAAAACATCAGTATTAAAAAACTTACTTGTTTAATGATATGGTATTACCTATGCAGACCCCCAGGGGTCTGGGGACCCCAATTTGGGGACCGCTGTTCTATCGGGTTGAGGTCGGGGCTGTGTGCTGGCCACTGCAATGTTCCGATGTTATTTTCTTCAAACCGTGCATTCACAATCCTTGCTTTGTGACATGGAGCATTATCAAATTAGAAGGTGTAAGGGCCAGTACCATAAGATTGCCACAATGTAGGACACACAGAATTGTTCAGAACATCAATGTAGGGCTCAGCATTCATGGTTTCATGCGCTGCAACCAGTGGATCTAGTCCCTACCACAAGAAGCACCTCCAGATCATGATATTGCCACCTCCAAACTTCACTGTTGGGAAAACACACTCAGGTAATAAGTGTTCTCCAGGCATCATCCATATCCAAACATGTCCATCAGAGTGGAAGAGCATGTAGCGTGACTTGTTGCTCTACAGGACTGATTTCCATGGTCCAGGTTTGGTATTCCTTGCCCCATGCCAGTTAATGATGTTTATTTGTTTTTGTTATGAATGGCTTGCGGGATGCAGCTCTTCCATGAGAATTCATGGCATGCAGCTCTCGATGTGTCATGGAAACACTTATAGGATTGCCTGTGGCTGCTCATATCTCCAAACACAGATTCTTTGGGGTCTGAGGGTGAGATGAAGTAACCAGCCTTCTCAAGGCGTGTCGGCTTCTGTCAGTCAGTATTTTATGTCTACCTGGTCATGTCTTGGGCTCCTTATCACCTGTGGGCTTCCATTTCTTCAGCATGTGCCAGTTGTCAACCTGTGAATGTTTACTTGTTGTGCAATAGCATATACATACATTTTCCCCAAATGACATCCAACTATCCTTCCCCTTTGATACTCTGTTAGTTCTTTCCATGTACACATCGTTTGGTGTACAAGTTTGAAATGACTTCCTAGCAAATCACTAATCCCCTTTATAGGCCAAACTGTTTGCATATTTTGTTGTCACACCCATTTTCATGCAATCAGAGGTGTGTCCCATGACTTTTGGTAGGATATTGTACATCTTCAATTCAAAAGAATGTACAATTATGTTTACCAATTTCAAGATCATTTGCACATAACCTAATGTGAATTTTGGGATTGTCAAATGAACACCTTACAGTATACACTTTGAAAGATGACATCTTTTGGACACAAAGAATGCTTCCTTTCTTATACTGTTTTTCATGGAATTGTGTTCTCGCAGAACTGGGTGACCTCTGACTTTTTTGTTGTATGGAAATAAGAGACTTGCAATTATAAAGCAAGAAGTGCCATCAGAAGAAATGGGGAGTAGAAAGATAGTTTAATAATTTTGTTATACAGAACACTTATAGAAGTTATATAGTTTAGAAAATTTCTGAATATTGGTGCTAAATTACCTGTTTTATGTTGTTTTCTAGGTTTTCATTCACGTTACATGTTGTTGGATAGCTTCCTTTTTCTTGAATATATCTAAAGTGAGATACTTTTTGTGTTGTTTTCAATGTTTTGTAAATTTTCATTCACATTTCATGTCATTAGATTGCTTTCCTTTTCTTTAGTACATCTAGAATGAGGGACTTTTCATGTTCTTTGTAGGTTTTAAATAAAATAATTATTTGTGAATAGATCTGTACTTGTGTATAGGTGTAATCCAGCTGATAAAAGCAATTTCAACATATCAAACTCCAAACGAATATGTAGTAACAATGTAACCACTAACTATAATTAGATGTTAGAGGTATCTGAACTTCGATAGTACAAAATATCTTGTTTGGTTTAAGTGTATAGTAGCCCTCTATTCACAACTAATAACTTAAAATACTGACTGTTATTGTCCAAGCACATTAAGTAGTCTATCAGTGGTGAGTAAAGGACTGTATGTCTATAACAAACAAATGCCTTGCATTTCACCACTATATGAGGCCTACTTTATTTGTTTGCTTTGCTCTTCCAAGAATCTGATGAGCCATGAATTTGGTGAAGCTAGTCTGTTCATATTTTGGTGGAGAAAAGAAATTGATAAATACAAAATATTGTTTATTCAGTTATTGGAAAGTACATGTATCTGAACTTTGTAACACATTGTACTGTTTATTACCTTATTAATACACCATTGACATGCATTGTAACTGTAAGTTGCTTCAGGTGATGTAATCTTATTGAAACAGAGAACATTGGAAAGTTAAGATAGTAAAGACAGACTCCAACATTTGTGGAAACTTAAAACCAAAACTTCATATGTGGGTTGAGGTGTAGGTCATATGGTCATTGCACCTACTGTGATGTTACAGTGTTTTTCTAAAGTGTTCAAGAATGTTGGCATCACATAAGAGTGCTGGGAGAGATACCACTGTTCTCTGAGTTATAAATCACGTAAGGTATGGTCTGGGGTCTCAGTATGATGTCAATCATGGTATCTATTCTGATTTTTTCAAGACACCAACTGGGGATTTGGGGCACTGTCAAATAGAATTAGGGCATGGGCCCCATGTACCGGTGCCTAGTGACACCTCTGCTATATTGCTTACACACAAACTTACAGCAGTATTCTCAAAAACATTAAATCTCAGTAAAATAACAAAGTGATAAAATACTTTCATTAAATTGTTAACTTATGAAATAAAGAAAGAGATGGTGGTGTAAGTCTTACACTTGTACTGTTACTATTATAGAGGAAGCGTAATCTGTAAAACATAACGTATGAACAAACATGAAGGGTAATGTATGAAGCTAAGTATTTAGAAAGTGTATTATATAGATGAATAGTTAACAAATTGTATTCCATTTCTCACTAAAACACATAAATATGAACAGTGTATCTTAATAAATTATTTTAGGTATCCTCAAAGTTTTATAAAATACACATCAGTGTATGTGTTATTACAGAAGGTCCGTGGTCGAAACTAGTTTGTTTTTCCTGGATGGCACCTTACACTGCAAGTTTACTGTTAGCTGTCTAATGTAAAAACTGATGACCAGTTGTATGTAAACTTTCTTATGAGTGACTTTGAGTGAATGTGTCAGTGAGCATGAGCAATGGTGTAGGTAGTAGACATTACGAAGTCGTAGGGTAAGTGAGATAACTCATTGAAATGACTAAGTTTCTTCAATGTACATGTATAAAACTGAAGGTCAAGTAGATATGCATATTTTAAAATACAAGTTCAAGATTATGTGCAACACACATTAGTTAACTATATCATACATTGAAATTATTTTGGACTTTTGCAGAACATTTCAAATGCTGAATTTGCATCAGGATTGATAAATGGATAACTAGTTGCCCAATATTTTTCTCATAAAGATATTTGATATTTATTAAATTATTTTGCAGGATAATAAAATAATTCAAACAGCACCACTGTACAGTTGTAGAATTCTTGGAATAAAATATACCCATGTAATTTCTTTGAGAAAAAAAAACTTGAGAAATGAGCTGGGTTCTAAAAGTAGTCATAGGTATTAGTTTCAAAACATGCGATTCATGTGCATTGCTATAGACAAAATGAATGCTGTTATGAAGTGTCCGTATTGAAGGCGTTGCAGGATTATATCTGTGATATGATGTATTTCAAAGTGTAAATGTACATCTCAAATAGCATACGTATTATTTATAAATAATTATATACAATTTGTAATTAGTAGGTAGAATAAAACTTTGTTATCTGTATTATAAATGGCCGGAGTAACTATGACTCTTATGATAGCCAAATGCCTCGTCATCTAATTAGTGACATGCATGAATAGATTAACAAGATTCCCACTGTTGCTATCTACTATCTAGCAAAACCACAGATTTTGGATTTGGACAGTCTTTCCTCGCCCTCCTGAATATAATTGCTCTGCTTTTCAATATAGGGTATCATGGTCACCCATTGCATTGTCTCTGATGTTATGGTCCTCTGGACTCTCCAATGCATTATTTCCCTCCTTTTTCTAGTGGAATATGGGAGTCCTTGCCTCTTACCAGCTCCTAGCCACTGGGGTAGTGGACCATTGATGCCTGCCCTCCTAAGTGTGCACAATACCACTTGGTTTGAGAGTAGGATGGTGACATTCTGCAGATGTCAATGGTGTGATGCCCTTCCTACTGTGGATCTGATGTACAATTCCTGATGCTGACAGGGGTAGGATGTAGCACTCCACCATATATATAAACGAAAAAAACAAAAATACAGTTTTTTCCTCCGGCTGAGACATTTTCCTTTGTACCATCTTCTGGGTGTCGGTTCCCAGAAATCGGGTGTTGTTCGAAGACTATCCAGCCACATAAGTCCTCACATATGTTTGGCTTGTATCCTCCTCCTACTACAAGCTGGCCATAAATTCCCAATGCCACCAGGTCCCTCATCCTTCCATCTGCTGGATGTTGGTTCCTAGTGGATCTGGTTGTGTATGTAGCTGGATGAGATACACGATTTCCTGTTTGTGTAAGGCAGGGTACCCTCCTTCTACCACAGACTGGACAACCAAATTCCCAATGCTGCCAGGTTTTGGACTAGAGATGAATACCCACCTGGACTCTCCTTCTTCCTACCATCTGCTGAATGTCAGTTCCTGGTGGATCTGGTGTTGGTTATGTTGGAGGTACATACATGTAGAGATGGGCTCTTGATACAGGAGCTTCTCTTCCCTGCTGGTATACGTTTTTGAGGTGAAAGGTAGAGGACTCTTTTTCCTACTGCAGACTTGATGTACAATTCCAGATACTGCCAGGTGTTGTTTGAAGTTGAACTCGCAATTATGGTCTGTTGCACCCTAGCCACTCTACACCAGGGGTCCCATTATTTCTTTATTTTTTGGGACCCCTCCAACTTCCCACCCCTTTATGTTTTGGTGACACATTACTACAGGGCAAAAAGTATACCTGGCTCAGAAGTGGTGCAGTCTCCCACTGGGGTGTTGTTTTTGATTCCTTATCACACCTCATGGTCTTCCTTTGGGTGCTTCCAAAAGGAGGATTGTCTTCACACTGGCCCTCCACCAGTTCAGTGTGGGATTCTATCTTTTTGTTAGAAGAGATAAGATATCGTATTGGAAGTTATCATTTTCCTAAACTGAAAATGTATTTCTGATACTTACCTCCTCTCATATTTCTCATCTGTCCTCCCCACTTCCAGTGTGAATTGATTTGGTTAGTTATGACCAATTTCAAACTAATTAAAGTGTGTGTGATTAGAGAGGGCGCTAATTACAATAGGGGTAATGTCGCACTCCTATTGGTGAAGAATTGCTGCATGATCATTTGCATGTTAATATGCAGTAATAAGTGGGAGTAACAAAGCTAGTGTCGAGAAAAAATTTGCACTAATAGAGGGCAGTACAAGTGAGAATTTTTTTTTTAGCAGAGGTATCTATAAGAAATACATTTTCAGTTTAGGAAAATGTTAACTTATGTGTTACTTTTAGTACTCTCAGCTTTGTTTATTGATGCCACAGTGCATTCACTTTCCACTTTCAAAATAAATAAAAGTTGAAAACATTGTAATTATATTATTTAGTTAGTGAGCACAAATTGTACCAGAAATATATTGGACACAATATAAAAACAAACAGTGATTTGGGATAGGTTATATTTATAATATTGTTGGAAGTGTGACAAATACATATCTAAAGGAAACACATCAAATGTGTATGCTAATTTTTCAGCCAACCACAACAGTCTGAATTTACTACAGACCAACTATATTACAAATGCAACAAATGGCTTTTAAAATCACTGTCTACAGTGATGTTACTGGAGCATATATTCATGTGACATTATTATACCAATTGTAATCTCTGATTGACTAGTTACCAAAGTAAGTGTATGTGGTATGTAATTGGATTGGTGATAAATGAAGCACTCTCACTCTCATATCAATAATTTCTCATTGAAAATTGGATACTAATAATCCTATCTATCTAGTGTTTTTTTAACAATTCAAATCGGTGCTCATAAGACTAATTACAGTAAAGTACTGATGCTTAGTTACCCTCTGCATTCAGAAATCATTATTAAAGATGTTTCATCCTAAACATAAAGGAGAAAAGTGGAGTAAAATATCTTAATTTTGAATTATGTGTGTGTGACACAAAAAATACTTTTTTGTTTTTTGAAAGTTCTAAATGATAATGCAATTCAAAGGTAAGAGATAAAACACAGCTAGCAGTGAACTGATGACTTAGGGCAGAGTGGTCATAGAAGTTTTTTTGTAATTTGCTTATGACTCATAAGTAAGAACATTTATTATAAATTATAAAAACTTATTGAAAAGATTCTGTCTGTAGGTGTATGTGGGATAGGTTGGTTCATTGGATAGAAAACTGGTTGGATGGAAGAAAGCAGAGAACTATTGTAAATGGAATTCAGTCAAACTGAATTGATGTCACAAATGAAGTACCTCGGGGCTTAATGTTAGGACCTTTGTTCTTTTTGATTTACATTAATGACATAGATGAAGGAATGGTCACTAGATTATTTAAATTTGCTGATGGCATTAATGTTTTGGATGTGAGAAGGATGCTACTACTTTACATAAGGATTTGGATTATTTGATGAGTTGGGTGAATAAATGGCATATGGTTTTTAATTATAACAAATATAAGGTAATAAATGTGGGATATCAAAATTTGAAGCATGGGTATAACTTTGATGGGAATAACCTCCACAATGTTATGTAAGAAAAAAGATCTTGGTGTTCTTGTTGATCTGCCTCTTAAGCCATCTAAGCAGTGTGTTGTTACTGGTGGCAAGGCAAGTAAAATATTAGGTTGTTTCTGCAAAAATATTGAATATATGTCTAAAGAGGCTATAATATCACTGTATAGGTCACTGGTTATTCCACATTTGGAGTATCGTGTTCAGTTTTGTGCTCCTTACCACAGAAAGGACATTTGAATTGTTGGAAAGGGTTCAGAGGAGGGCTACTAGGATGGTACATGGGATGGAAGGGTTGTAATAGGGGATAGGTTAAGGTTTCTGAACATGCTTTCTTTTAAAAAAAGAAGTTTGAGGGGGAATTGATTAAGGTGTTTAAGATTGTTAGGGGGAATTGATAGTATGGATGCCTGATGTTTTTTCATATTTAATGGCAAGAATGGTAAGACTAGGGTACACAAATATAGATTTTGGCAGGGTAGGAGTCATAAGGTGGCTGGCCTTTGGATGTGGTGGATGCATTTAATTTAAGGGAGTTTAAGGGAAATATTGATGCATATTTGAATGATAAGGACTGGCTTTGAGTTTTTAGTGTTTAATTTAACAGATAGAAAGAGCCAAGATGGACCAGAAGTCCTCTTGTTGTCCTTTAATGTTATGTTATATTATTGTAGAATTTTAGCAGCTCTTCTGGAAGAAGATATTAGATGATGAAATTTTTATGTGATATTTTCTCCTCATATAAACTGCAAGAAAGAAATGACCATCAGTGTAATGGTGCTGTAAGTTGATTTAACTGTAATATGATTATTTTAACATTGTACCAATTCATGTTAGGTTTATTGTTACCAGTTGTTTCAGTCACTAGACTCAAATGGATAGCCAGAAAATGTCTGAGTCCTTAAAGGAGTTTACTCTCTAGTTAATTAAAAACTAACAAGTTTTTTACATATTTTAATTCAACTATAGATGAGTTTCAATACACTTGATAAATATTTACTAACCAGCTTTCATTCCATGTCTTACTTCTATTTTTCGAGATAAGTTTAATTATAGTAGCTTTATAACTATTGTTACATCATCGAGGTCACGTGACTGGTGTGGCGCCACCTATTTTCTAGAACTATCCTGTACCTTGGCGAATGCTCTGGTATTTGCTGGATATAGGGTAGTCTGGTATATAAAAGAGGGTGACAACGTGACGGGGAATAATGTGTGTGTAGATAGTGAGTAATTGAACTGCAGTCACAGGGTATTGTTGAAGTTAACGTTCGTTCGTTATAGTGTTTGTTTTAGCGCGAATATTGAAATTAAGTGTATCGTAAAGTTATATTCGGAAAGAATAAACCAGTTTTATTAATTACGGACTTGTGTCGCTAAAGTTTCGTTGGAACGAAGTTACGGAAAGTTAATTAACAAACGGAGACGTAACACTATGTTATGAATTAAAAGACAAAAACTTGAATTACTGAAATGTATATTATTTTATTTCTATATTCACCTCTTACTATAGTTTTATGAATTACATTTAACATAACTCTCTATGTTAGTATATTTTAAAGTCTAGGTATTTTAATAAATGCTAAAGAAATTAGCTTATTTTATTCAGGTCTGTGATTTTTTTGTTGGTATTAAACATGTATGAGAAGTGAACTTTGTTACAGGCATTGTTTAGCTCGTTAACACATAGCAAGAAATGTTTTCTTTATAATTTAGGCAGGAATATGTGGACAAGTAAGACGACAACTCTTAAGACTCACAGAATTAGGTTGGATGTACAACAAAGTTGACAAGTTCTGTGAAAGTCAGAGCTATAATAAAACTTTAGGTCTAGTAGGACAGAGCTTTGTGGCAGCCCTTCAGGAGGAACTAAGTGAATACTACAGACTGCTAGCAGTTCTAGAATCACAGGTATGTTAATGTGGGGCATGTTTGATGTAGAATATTTTAACAAAAACTAGTCATCATACAACAAAAGTTTAAGGTACTATTTACTTCTACAGGAATATTTGTTTTTGTCTTAACCAGATCTTCTCTAATGACCTCTATGAACTTTTAGAGAACCCCCCCGAAGCACAACATTCATAAAGTTGTTTTTATATCAGATAAATACATTTTATATATTTTTGCTGTTTTTTTTTTTGGCAATTTGATAAACAATCTATTGAAAAAAAAATTTCTTTTTAACATTCTGACTTAAAATGTGTGACTTAATTAAGAGATGGACCCTAGGGTTTATTTAATTTTTGTATCATGAAAGAACGTAACATTCTAAAGTAGGTGAAAGACAGTCAAACTTTTTATTTGTAAAAGTTGAAATATGACTTTATTTTTCCAATGCATGCATATAGCACATTTTATATCTTATACTTGGGAAAAGAACCAGAGAGAAGTGTCAAGACTCCATCTTTGTGAAGTGTTACTCCTAAATTTTTATTATTAAAAAATTATATTTCAAAACTTCATGTAACATGTGAGTGTTTATTATAATGGACACAAACAAATGCTTTCATTTACCTTTGAATTTACATTTGTATTATGTCTGAAACAATATCTCAAGCCACTTTCAAGCTTCACAAAAACCATATTTTGGATTATAAAGGATAGTATTTCATGTTATTATCACATAAATGCAGAAAATTATGATAACTTTATATTATTAATAAATCTAATACTTTTAATCATTTATTTAGATCTCGACACAGAAATGCAAATATAGTTACTTTAAAGATGGTAAGGTACATGAGTACCATTTAGTGGCTACAGAAAATAGAAGTGATATATTCATGATATTAAGACTACAGAATACAGAAATAGTATGTTCTTGATATGGAGGCTACAGAAAACAGAAATGATGTATTAGTGATAATAAGATAAAAACTAGATGAGTCACGAAATAAGAAATTTGAAAACGAGTGCTTTCAGTAGTTAGACCTTCTGAAATATCTTTTGATAATAGGATTCTTAGTTTGAAACAATACATTGATGTAACTCACATGACTTACAGTTAGTATACACACACACACACACACACACACTATTAGTAATAATTGTCTTAGTTTTTCAGTAATTTGCTTTTAAATACAAGAATAAAACATACTATTAATTTAATAGAAATACAAATAGAGTTTGTTTTTCTATTCTAATAAAATGCTTTTTTTTCTTCACACAAACATATGTACAAATGTTTAGATACACAGTAAACAAGGAGTTTAAGTTCTATGCATATGCAATATTTTTGGAGAAAGTATAAAAATCCATTTTCCATTTACTCAAAAGAAAATACATATTATCATAAACATATAGACGTGAAATTCCTAAGTAAATTAATATCTATTATTGTTTCTGTTAATCAGCTGCATAATGATGTGAGTACAGAAGGAACATATGTAAGTACTCGATCTGGGTCTTTAACCCTTCACCAGTTAGTCGTGTGGACATTAGACCCATTTGTCAGGATGAAACAGCTGGCTGCATTAATTGACTCTTGTCATGGTACGTGTAAGATCAGTTCTTTTTATGTCTTTTTGTTACATCTATAGTATCATAGAAAAGAAAATACTGCACGGTTGTGAAAAATTTTTTCTTATTCCTGTAATAAAACCTAACTTGTTTCTACCAGAAGTTTTCGAAAACTTGACTTATCATATAAGTTATTTAGGGTCATGTATACACACATGCATACATAGCTCATATCAGTCTTTTATATTTAAATTTAAACCTCAGTTTCATACATTCAATGACATTAAAATTATCCTGAAGTTTAAAAATTATTTACTTACAGGCAGAGGTCATTATTTACATACACATTATTTCTAAGAAATAGGCTTATTTATGCACAACATAAACTCTCTAAAACATAAAGCAAACAATTTATTGTTATAGCTCTCATTATAAATATTGTTTTACATCACGGTGATTTCCATTCTGTTCTTTTGTTGTATATGGCATATTAGTTTTATATGGTTTCACAGAAATATGTTCTACTTTAGTGTTGTGCTTTAATATGTAACCTACTTATATCAGCTAATAGTTAAGGTATTTCAATTTTGGAGAACTGTACTTAGAACAAGAGGTTAACATTAATGGCCATATGGAGAACTGTACGTACAACAAGAGGTTAATATTAATGACCATATTTCAGAGATCAAAAGCATGGTTAAGATGATTAAGTTGAAGTGTTATCAAAGATAATGGTGATACCTGTTAATGTTATTATTGTATTAACTATGTATGATATATGAGACATTTGAAAAGCTAGTAGTTTATATATAACCTTATAATTGTGGACAGTACAATAAATACAGGTTTCTTCACATCAATAATTGTATTTTCTAACAGATGAAAGTTTGTTACAGAATCAAATAAAGCTCTTAATGAGGATAAACCTGTATTTGCTTATTTTGTTCTCATTATCGATCTGCGTTATGAGTATTTTGTAAATAAACACATGTCATGGAAATTTTTATGTGTAGAAATATCTTCCAGGTCAAAAGGGAGGAGCCCTAGCCTCAACACTATATTCGTACCTACATCATGCTGACCCTAGTATCCATGGGCTAGTTAGACACGTGTTGTCAGTCGTAAGTATCTTGAGCTGGCACATTAAAGGTAACCAACTGTGTTAAAATTATTAACTAACATGTTCTTACATTTCTTTTTTAATGTAACTGATAGAAATAGAAAGTACTGTTGAAAAAAAAGTGTAAGTGATGGGTCATCACAAATATAATTTTTCAGTGTTCATAAACGTGACTCTGGTTTTATATTGTACATTTGTTATGCATTACATACAACTTAATTATATGTGGTCAACATATGTAGTGTATATTGAAAAATTATTTTGAAAACCTAAAACGTCCAAGATAAGTAGTGTACCAGGTTTTATGTGAAATAATTAGAATATAGAGTTATTACAAATATTTTCCAGGTTTCATACAGTTGTTGTTTTTTAGTGAAAAAACAGTTTCATTTTTCATTATGATGGAAATAATTTCTAAAATCATGAACTGATGAAAGTTCTTAATGTAGAACATGTTTGACTGTATGATATTCAAACATTCGTATTTAATAAAACTAACTTCAACAGGTAAAAATGGGAAAATTTGATATCAGCAATGCTTTGCTGAGTTAACAGTGTCAACAAGAAACACATAATTAAAAAGCTATGAAGATAAACCAATGATATAGCCATATGCTCTATCACACTAGCTGTCAACATGGATCTAACATCAGACAAATTGTTTCATAAGAACCATCCATGAAAGGCAACTTCACTTACACTTAGAGTTTTAATCTTCAATGAAAAATTTCACCACATTATTGTTATATTTTACATTAAACCCCAATTGTTGAATTTACATCTTTCCAATACTCACTCTGACAAAAGTTTCTTAAGTCTGACTGCCAAATTAAGTAAACAAGATGTTGGACCAGGCAACTGTATTATCCTGATAGTAGTGTCATAACCTGTACTATGGTTATAGCAATGTTTGAATATAGCCCAACAAACGATTATCATAATCTCTAAATCTATTCCACACAAAATAAGATTTATTTATTAACAATTACTTATAGCTCTATGTAATCTTTCACTTTTAAATTAAACCTTAATTTATCATAAAGTTAAGGGTTAATAATAGTAAAAGTATTAGACTTGTAATATTTTGGGTTATGTTTATATCAGAAGATATTTATATGAAATCACCACTATATTCTGTGATGAAAACATTTGATAGAGTGATGATTATTAGAATTTTGTGGTAGACTTTTATTTCTAAATTAGTCCTGTATAATTTTAATTTTTAGAAAACAATATTACAGCTTTTATGTTTTTTTATATTAGGTGTGTTACGTGCTTCATGATTTCAAAAATTTGAAGAGTGGTAATCCTTATATGGTTTAATTTTATACTTTAAAAATCTTATTCAAAACACAACAACTGCTATAAGAAATATTTGAATTCAGTTTTGTTCTGTTAAACATATCAAATTAGCAGTTATGGGCAGAATTTTAATTTCCTAAGTAAAAGTACTTTGGTATAGTTTGATTGAAAAAGAAAAGCTGAAATGTTGGAAATTATTTTATATGTGATTGATTTTTGCTGGTCAGACCTGTTCTTAGAAATCTAATTGTCCAGCCCCCCAGTGGCACAGCAGTATGTCTGCAGACTTACAATGCTAGATACCGGGTTTCGATACCCATGGTTGGCAGAGCACAGATAGTCCATTGTGTAGCTTTGTGCTTAACTACAAACTAATTGTCCATGGTTGGTTACAATACCATCCTTAAGACAATTATAGCTTTCTAGTATTCTTAAACATGTAACTTTTTATTATTATAGTTTTCTAGTATACTTAAACATGTAACTTTTTTATATTATAGTTTTCTAGTATACTTAAACATGTAACTTTTTATATTATAGTTTTCTAGTATACTTAAACATGTAACTTTTTTATTATTATAGTTTTCTAGTATACTTAAACATGTAACTTTTTTATTATTATAGTTTTCTAGTATACTTAAACATGTAACTTTTTTATAACTATAGTTTTCTAGTATA